ATAAACTCAAGAAAGAAAGAAGAGTCCAGAAAGACAATTGACTTTGGATATGACAATTGAGACATTCTAGACGACTAGAAGATCTTCAATTAGACCCGAAAAAAGAGATAAAGACCTTAACAAGCAGTTTCCTGCTAATCTATAATCGGAACCGAAATAGAATCTCTTTAGACGTCTTCTGAACTCTACTTAAACAACACTGTAAAACATCATCAACGCATCTAGTGAGAACTGCTGCTGCGGAGAGATGCTGATGGTCGCCGGTAGTAATTGAAACCTGTTACGTCATATGCATTTAACACAAGCAATTGATGATGTCCATTTTGTACTAATAACAGGTTAGGCCGGCCATTCGCAGCGCTCTTGGGTCGTTCATGTACACAAACGGTGGAAACCTACACATCTTATTAACGCTTGATTCTTTCGTTTTCTTTGGAGCTAGTGGTTCATTAGAGAAGATGATGTAAAATTATCATTATTATTATCAATCTCATTATCGTGTCATTACACTGTAATTGAAGTGGTTCATTCTAGAAGCAGACAAACGACAATATATTCTGTTTGTGAATGCTGTTCTCTAAATGGCATTCTATTTTTCATTCAGGGTTGTAATTGTATGGGAATAGAACACTTCCAAATACAACATGGGGCTAGAAAAATTTGGGAGGATCATTATTTAAAGCATCGCTAAAACAAAGAAAGTTTTGAAATTTAAAACTCAGTCATATTTTGACAGATTTATATGATGAAACAATGACATACACACACACAACCACCGTCTCGACCCAGGGCAGAACTAGCTCTTCAAGGCATGTGGGCCTCTATGTTGAGTTTAAGGCCCTCATCAACAAATTCGGGTGCTCTTTTCTAATCAGAAAGACCAGAGTGAGTTTTCCGACCTAATTTCCATTCGGAATCACCATTAGATTCAGCTAACTTTATCGGAATCCTCAGATTGAAACCCAAACACTCTGAAATGTTTGTATTTTACCTTCCGGTGTGAATGACCGGCCGAATAAGCATGTTGTTTCAAAATTTCTGGCAGAGTGAATTGCGTTATATTGCTCTTTTTCTCACAAACAGTGCCCAATGTACCTACTCCACTCCGGAGTCGACAAAATCAAAAATAAACAACGCGCATGCGCAAAATTAAAAATATAAAATGGCGACAATTATTTCATTGTACCCAGTATAGGTACATCCATAGATTCGACAAAAAGTGAGCATGCGATGATGAAAAAAATATCCTAAACTCACTAAAAACAAAATCTTATTAAAATATTAGTGTTATCAATTAGAGGAAAGATCATATCATTTTTTTATTATTATTAAACGATATTTTATCCTGTTTAGAACGACGAAATTATGGCTAAAAATATCGCTCTTCTTGCATCAATGGGAAGACCAATGATTAGTATAGAAAATTTTAGCTTCTTTTTTACAGTAACAAACACATTAATTTGGAAATTCTTGGAAAAAATGAAATAATTATGGGATTTTAATGAAACTTTCGGGAACTATTCACAAATGAATATATTATTTCAGAAAGTCTTTTTAAAAACATTTTTTTATTACCCCTTTATTTAATTTTATGAAATTTTTTAGAAATTAATTTTTGAGCCGTTTAATGTCTATACTAGATATACGCAGAACTTGGAGAATTTAAATCATCATTTTTGTTTTTAAAACAGGACCTGCAGTTACCAAAAATTTGTTCTGAATGGTAAAATAAAAATGAAATAAGACTAATACATTATTTAATTTGAAAAAAAACATATATATATATAGATATACTCCGGACACTTTAGATTTAAGTAAAATAATGTTTTTCTATGAAAAATGAATTTCACAAGAATTGATTCATTGTTTTTTTAATTTTAATTAGAATAATTTATAAACTTTTAAAACTTTTAAAATTCTGTATTAATTTTTACCGGTTAGGCGATATTTTTATTAAGTAAAATCTATATTTACTAATCATAAATTGAAAAGCTTACTACCATTCAGCGATGACAGTATTTTAAAAAGAATTTCATTTTTTTTGAATGTGTATAAACGTGGTGTTTTTTTTGTTTTTTTTTTTGTAAGTATGGACGTTCATATAAGATATAAAAAAAAGTAAGATAACTATAGTAAGTTTAAAGTTTAAAGTAGAAGTACCTATTCAATAAAACAGATTACGGAGAATATATTCCTAAATTTTAAAGTTTTCTGGGTACGTAACAATTACATTAGAAAAGTCGCTTACTTTATCCACTTTAAATAAACACCAAACTACATGTAATAAAATATACATTTTTGCAATATTTTAAATTAAAACTAACTACTGTTTGTTTCAAATCAGATTAATTGAACTTTAAACTTTGAACTGATATTCCTCAACTAATGTTCTAGAATTTAGTGTTTAATTTTGAAATATTTTTTAATAAAAATTTAATAAGAAATAAATAATTTTTCTGCCGTTTTAACATTACGTATTATATATATATATATATATATATATATATATATATATATATATATATATATATATATATAAGGATATGGGATATAAGTGCAATATTTATGGGATAAAGTGCTCAATATCAGAGATAGAGCGTGTGTAAATATAAAAGTAAAGACTGAAGTCAACACTTAGAGCCTCTATGTGTTGTATCAACATCATCACTTGATAAGATACCAGAAGTGTTGAAACAAAATGGCTATTTTTTGTAGTGATTTTATAACCTATTTATATCATAATTTTCGAATAATTATATTAGCTCTACCCTGTATTAAGCACTCTTTTAAGAATAGTATTTGTTGGTTATTGAATTTATTCCGTATACACCAATCCTATGCTTGGGTACATATATATATATATATATATATATATATATATATATATATATATATATATATATATATATATATATATAAAAGTAAATGATCTAATAAGATCATTTACTTTATGGTCCCTTTAATCTTCAAAAATCCCAACACATATTACTTACACGCAATTTGTCCTTTCATTCTAAAGCAGCCGAGACCACTAGAATTCGGCGAAACGCGTCGTTTCTATCTTCCTATTTCGTCTTCACTTTTGTTTCGGATAATATTATATATTCTATATGCGCACACATAAATACATGTTGCAAAACAAGATCCTTATATTTCCTTTGTTGAAGAGGATAGGAGGATAAAACGTATCAGTTAAGATAATATTTTTTGTCTTTATATATATATGTATAAGTTTGTGTTGGTGTGTGTATATATATATATATATATATATATATATATATGATATATATATATATATATATATATATATATATATATATATATATTTCCTGTTGTCAATTCATGAATACATACACTCGAATATATCAAGATAAATCTTTGACTTTCGACATGTTATTAGGCACACGTGTTTTTAGGCGCTAATGTCTGTATGTGTATACATACACGCCCACACGTCTATATTTGCTTTGTCTATATATCTGTGTACAAATATACATAGGTAAGTTTTATGTCTACTGGTGGAATGTGAAGTCAGGGAATATTTGTGACAGGATGTAACAAAAAAAAAAAACAACTTAAAAACGAATGACAGAAAAGAAAATTCTCCCAAAATGCCTGAGACGAACGCAGACACCGGAAGATCATCTACAACGTCTCTGGCTAACTACTGTGGCTTAACTGCTGCAAAGGCAGACAGCCCAAAATTCCATGGCATTTTGGGACAGCTCAAAGGTTGCTCAAAAAGGTCATAAGAGATTTTATATTTGTTTCCCTAATCACGTCTTCTTCCTTTTTCTATCTTTCATGCAAAGAATAAAATAAATGATTAAATATACATATATATTTTTTAATCATTTCACCTCAAACAAAACAATAAAGAAACTAGAACGCAAATTGTTGCTCAGTGTTATAGAATATGAGAAAAAAGAAGAGAACAATAAAAGAATAGGAATTATGAAGACAGAAGATAACGAATAACTGGGAATTTTCGTTTGGTTTCTTTTGTTTTACGGCATATCAGCATATAAATGGGGTATTTAATACAGACACGCATGTATTGCTAGTAAATTATTTTCCAAAAAGCTATTGCTGGTAATATTTTATTTTTATTTTTCAAAAATGTCACCAATATTTATTAACTCTCTCTAGTTCTCTATTTCTCTCTCACGTACATATATATATATATAATATATATATATATATATATATATATATATATATATATATATAATTTCACCCCAAGGAAGGCAACAAAGCCGCAATCACACAATGTGTTATTGAGTGTAAGAGAATATGAGAAAAATTAAACATTATTATGGAGAAAGAACAATAAAAAAAAAGGAATTATGGAGACAGAAGATAACGATTGACATTGAATTTAAAGTTTTGAAGATCAAAAAATAACTAAGATTTTTCGTTTGCTTTCTTTTGTTTTACGACATATCAACACCTCAATGGGTTTATTTAACGCCGACAAGATTTTTAACGCTGGTAATTTTTATTTTTCGAAAATTTAAAATGTATTGTTGGTAATGATTTTTTTCAAAAATGTATTGCTGGTATTAAAACCTATTTTTACACATTCATCGTGTTTTGACCCCATTTTAGGGGTTAACTATTTGCCCATAGCTGGTACCATAAGAAGAGGCTACCACCCCGAATCAGGGTGGACCTGGGAACATCACTAAATAAGAGATGGTTTCACCCTCATCAAGAGCTACATCCGGCAACAAGGCCTCTGATCTCCTGATCAGAGGCCTTGTTGCCGGATGTAGTTTATCGTCATACCCAGGACGATGATTGGAAAGCAAGATGCTGGAAGAAAGTTTCACAAGAGAGAAATTCGAAAGAAGAGACCATTAGCTCGCGGTTACATCTAAATTCAACTATAAAATGATGAGACCTTGACACCCAGCTAGTACTGTCCTTAGATTCATTATGTCTAATTACTATAAAAGACAGTTCATCAGAACAATTACTATGAATTTTTTATAGCAAAG